GTGGATGTTTTCAGAGAACTATCCATGATAACTCCAAGATCTCTCTCTTGAGTGGTTATAGCTAAATAGTCCCCATCATTTTTTATTTGTAGTCCAGATTATTTTTTCCAATGTGCATTACTTTACATTTATCAACATTAAATTGCATTTGCCATTTTGAGAGATCTTTCTGAAGCTCTTCAGAGTCTGCTTTGTTCCTGTCTTGAACAGTTTTGTATCATTTGCCACCTCACTTTTTATCCCTTTCTCCAGATCATTTATAAATAAGTTGAATAGGATTGGTCCGAGTATAGACCTTTGGGGGACACCACTAGTTACCTCTCACCATTCTGAAAACTTACCATTTATTCCTACCCTTTGTTTCCTTTTAACCAGTTATCAATCCATGAGGGGACCTTCCCTCTTATCCCTGACAACTTACTTTACTTCAGAGCCTTTGATTAGGGACTTTGTCAAATGCTTTGTGGAAATCTAAATACTCTTTATCCACTGGATCCTCCTTGTCCACATGTTTGTTGACACCCTCACAGAACTCTAGGATATTAGTAAGGCATGATTTCCTTTACAGAAACCATGTTGAATTTTCCCCAACAAATATGTTTATCTATGTGTCTGACAATTCTATTCTTGACTATAGTTTTCGCTAATTTGCCTGGTATTGATGTTAGACTTACTGGTCTGTAATTGCCAAGATCACCACTAGTGCTCTTTTTAAATATTGACGTCAAATTAGCTATCTTCCCATCATTAGGTAAGGAAGCTGATTTAAAGGTTAAGTTCCAAACCACAGTTAATAGTTCTTCAATTTCCCATTTGAGTACTTTCAGAACTCTTGGGTGAACGCTATCTGGTCCCAGTGACTTGTTACTGTTGTATTTATCAATTTGTTCCAAAACCTCCTCTAGTGATACCTCAGTTTAGGACAATTCCTCAAATTTATCACCTAAACAGAATGGCTCAGGTTTGGGAATCTTCTTAACATCCTTAGCCATGAAGACCAAAGCAAAGAATTCATATATTTTTCCCCACAATGACCTTATCATCTTTGAGTGCTCCTTTGGCATCTCGATCATCTAGTGGCTCCACTGGTTGTTAAGCCGGATTCCTGCTTCTGATGTACTTAAAAATATATTTTGCTCTTACTTTCTGAGTTTTTGGCTAGCTTCTCTTCAGACTCTTTTTTGGCTTTTCTTAGTATATTTTCACAATTAATTTGAGAGAGTTTCTATTTTCCTTACTGGGATTTAACTTCCATTTTTTTAAGTATGCTTTTTTAAATCTGTCACTACTACTTTTACTTGGTTGTTAAGGCATAGTGGTACTTTTTTGGTTCTCTTACTGTGATTTTTAATTTGAGCTATTCCTTGAAGTTTGGCCTCTATTATTTGGGAAGTCTCCATGGTCTCCATGCACCTTGCAGAGATTTTACTTTTGTCACTATACCTTCTAATTTCTGTTTAACTAACTTCCTCATTTTTGTGTAGTTCCCCTTTCTGAAATTAAATGCCACCGTGTTGGGCTGCTGAGGTGTTTTTCCCACCAGAGGGATGTTAAATTTTATTACATTATGCTTACTATTTCCAAGTGGTCTAGTTATATTTACCTCTTGGACTAGGTTCTGTGCTCCACTGATCATCAAACCAAGAATTGTCTCTCTTCTTGTAAGTTTCAGAACCAGCTCCTCCAAGAAGCAATCATTTAAATTATCAAGGAAAAATAATGGATTTAAATCAAGTTTCCACTGATACTACTTCACATATTTCTTAAACAATGGTGCAAATCTGATGGCTCAAACATGCTAATGTACAATTCAATACATTTACATAATCTAAGAGGGTATATACTTTATATAATTATTAATTTGATTTATATTAATTTAGGAAATAGTACATAATACTCAGTACTTGAGTTAGGCTACAGATTCAGCAGTACGTTAGGATTAAGAAATAAATTGCACACACAAACATAATACGTAATATTTGTTAAACTAAATCTTAAATGTTACATAAATGTTTCACATTTGTAATTGCAGCAGTAATCAGTTGATGGCTTTCCTTAAACTCTTTATTTTTTAAGTTTTTAATTTTATTAACTCTACTGGGTATGTCATCAGAATCCTAACTGTATTGTGTCCTTATAACTTCTACAACTAGCTCTCATCTTTCCCACTTCCAGTGTCATTTTGATTCATTCACTGAAACAGAAATACAAGTGTCTATGCTTTTTCAACTCTCAGCTGATTCCTTAGTTTTGTGTGAATAATACCAAACAATGAAAATAGTTTCTCTGTGTCTGCAAAGGAAATTACCGTAGAGAAAAGTTGGCTTAGCAATTGAAGGAACAAATGATGCCCACCAATTCAACAGTTACTTTTGTTCAAAACTACATCAGTAAACATGTACTGCTTATATGGTTTCTCTCCAGCCCTGAAATATATTATGACTGGCATAACTGAGGAGTGATTTTGAGATGCCCATGCCATGGCAGCATCTTCATCTTCAGAAGTTGGGCATCTATCTTTTATATCTGAAGATAATGTTTGCAAGAAAATGAGGTGGAGTTAGTGTTTCATTATTTGCTTCTTTATTGCCTGTAGATTAACTTCCTGGTGAGGTATTTCTTTCATCAGTTTCTTTTGAAGTGCCTTCAAAATTTCCACAGCATCTGAAATAGATAATAGATTCTAACCCTAGTTAACTAATTAAAGAAACCATAAGGATTAGCTAAGCTAAATATTTTTTATAGCAACTTCTAGTATAACAAAGAGCTTAGGAATTTACTTGTTAAATCACACTTTTATTAGAAGGTAAGAAGAGAGAGAGAGTCTTGAAGAATGATGTATTTCAAAGTGAATTATTTAAGTTACTAACTAATTGATCAACATTGTACTTCTGACATACCCACATCTTCATCCATATCATGTTCTCCCAATAACCAGTTTTCCTTATGATGTTTATTTTTGCAGCTAGGCTCTGCATCTTCTTTTTTCACTGCTTACAGTAAACACATTTTCCTTTTTTATCCAGGGCATGAATTTCTTTAAAATATTCCTGAATAAGGTGTCACTTATGGGCAGAAAGCCATGACAGTTTTTCTGTGACAAAAGCGGGGGGAATATAGGAAGCTCTTTGTGTGCTGAATAATGTCTTCCCTTTTTCTTTCCAGTCCGCTCTACTATTCCTTTCTGTGCTGCTTCCGTTCCTTCCTGTATCTTGTGTCATTTGTCTTTAAAACAGTGTTCTGACTAATTCTTCTGCTGTGGTTGGCCGAGACCCACCACCAAATAAGCACAGAACAAAAACAATTGTACTCAGCCTGTTCCTTTCTTTGCACACATTTCTTTAGTCTCTAGAGAAATAGAAATTGAAAGCCCAGAATTTTCAAGAAGCAAGATGCAACTTAATTATAATGGTTATTTTCAAATGAAAAATTTAGTATTCTATTGATGATTTTTTTTTAAAAAAATCCTATTTAAATAAAAAAGTCTGTCTTTTTTTTTTTTTTTAAATAATTGCTTTTCATTCGCCCTGTTCAGCTATAGGAGCAGGATTAGGGGGAGGGTGCATCAAATTAAGTAGGAACTGGGAACCGCATCAGAATGTTGGAAACAGCATTTCATTGATCTGAACAACAGAACAGTGTACATTTAATTTGCTGAAAATCCCTCTACCCTCTTATTTGTATCATTCACAAACACTCATTTAAAAGCTTTTTTTTAAATGTTTTTATTAATTTCAGATAGTGATGCCAGCCTTCTTGTTCTTGTTACTTTCTTTAAATCTAGTGTTCATGAATGCTTCAGAACTATCCTTGTACTTGGAATGACTTCTCAGTCCCACCGCTCTTGTTTCCTCTCTTCCTTATTTAAATTCAATTCTGTGTTTCACAATTTGTTGCCATCAGAATGACTGTGATGTAGCTCTTTTGACATTGTCACCACACTGCCAGCTCAACTAGGAATTGCAAATTGGCAGGGACAATACAAACTCTTATTTCAAAGTAGAAATCATTCATAATTAGCAAATGTACCCTGCATCAAAAAGTCACCTGAAAAACAAGTGAAAGATAACAGAAGTTATATTTGCCTATTAAGTTAGAAAATTTTCCTCTGCATAACATTTAATGCCTAGAGAAAAATACATCCAGCAAAGAAATTGTCTGTGTGTTTGTGTGTATTACCTTTAAATTACATGATAAACTTTTAATTGCATTAAAATATGCTTACAAGTCAGCTATTAAAAGGATTTAAAATAAAAGTCCTACTTTCAAATGTCTGAATGCACATTTTTATGTTGCATACTTCATTGCAACAATAGAAGGGAGGTAATTACAGTATGCAGAAATAGTATTTTAAAGATTTTAGGACAGATTACACTCTTTTATATAGTAATCATAGCAGATGTTTCAATCAAAATGATTTGCTAACTGTACTAAAAATGAGATTCTGTTTTGGGGCCTGCATTATTGCATTTCAGAAATAATATTCTGCATAATGTCTGTAACAAGGTATTTTATCTAAGAAACCATTGTAGGTTTCTTATTATTGATTCCAGGCTCCTTCCACAATAAAAGTGTAATTCAAATGTACATTAATGCATTCAGTCCTTTAATAGCAGCATTCATATCCATCTATAAATAGACAAAGAAACAATTATATGGAGTACTTGTTATTCATCCTCAGTGCTTTCTTTTTGTATTTCACTTTTAATTTCCAGACTTTAGAGCACTAATACAGTGGAGTTGTGTTCAATACAGAAAACTTGGTTTAGTCTGAAAATATCTGTGGTTTCTAGGTATATTAAATTTACTTTTCCAGTTGGAGAGGTCATTTTAGTGCCATTTTCGGAATGTTGAAAACAGCTCAAGGCTTCAAATAAATGCAACTTCAACTGAAAACTAGATCTGGACTGATGTTTTCTGAACATAAGAGAACATACTGTTACATAATAACGCATTTTATTGTCCTTCCACAAATTGATTTTTTTTCCCTTTTTTTCTAGATACGCCTTCAGTTAAAATCATATCTTCCAGTTCATGGCCAGAAGAGGGACAATCTATAGTTTTGACTTGTGAATCCAAAGGAAAGCCACTGTAAGTGATTTAAGAGGCAATATGTTTTTGCTATTTTCCTTATTGTGCTTTGATGGCAGATTGCTGCAAAAATCTGCTATTTTTGTTTTTCCTGGGGTTTAAAGTGATCTCCGGTGTATGAAAAACCCCTTGAAGCCTGTCTTCATTAACTGTCTGTGGAAGATTGTCTTTTACTTTGTCATCTGTTAGTTTTGAGAGAGGATTCCAGCAGTGAGATTTTTTTTTTCAGTGAAAGGAGTGCAGTCACAGCTTAGATCATCGAACTGATGATAGCTGAGGCAAAACATCACATGAAAAACATTTTAAATCACCATGCCTGTGAGAAAATATACTGAACTTTCTGGCTACTTTGTCATTTACATGAAAATTGGAAATGTAATGATATATGCAAATCAACTATCCAGTTCTGACCCAATTTAAAAATAAAGTGTGCATTAAGAAAATGAATTGTAGACATCTCAATTATACTTGAAAATTGGTAACTATATCACTTCCAACATTCTTTTTAACAGCCAACTCTGTCAGTATTGAAATTGCACAGAATCTGCTATTTAAAAAAAAATGTAAGATGCTTTCTTTCCAATTACAGTAAAACTCCAAGGCTTAACCCCTGATTAGAAAAATAAATTCCCAGTTGTTATGTGTTTTGAGTTTAGACATGAATAAGAAGAACTGAAATGAGATGCCTGAATATATATCTAGGAATTCAAAATATATCTTTCATGTAACTGGAAAATAATATGCTTTGGAATATTCAACATAGGCATTTGTGGAATCACACTTTGATAATACTTACGTGCGAGATGCATGCAAAAGGTCATTTAGCACTTCAGACGAATTTTTCCTTGGTATAATATCACAAATGGCTTTGTGGGTTTACTTAAAATAGTATTTGGCCTTTGGGGTCATGTGGGTGAGGGTGTATTTATGGGGGTTTTTTAATCTCATTTGTACGAAATATGTATGTTCTGGTTTTTACCCATCCTTTAATTATTGAAGACAAAGAATATATATTTTGCCCTTCGGTCTTTAGAAGCTTTGGTATGCAGCAGATAACTATAGATCAACAATCTTATTGAAAAAAGGAGTCCCTTGTTTTACATGACAAAAGGAAAAGGCTCTTTTACTGAAGGAGGAAAATAATCTCTTCATTTTATCAGGAGATTTACTTCCAGACTATGACTTTGCAATTTCAGTGCTGTTACGGATGGCATTTTATGATGGCCATAAAGAATGACGTATTTTATCTTGATGCATTAATGATCATACATTTCAAATTCTTTATATGTTATGAAGGACCGTTAGCCATTTGTGGGGGAAAAAATTTAAAACTTTATTTTATCAAAATATGCTGGGCTACATGTTCAAAATTTTTTAAATCAAATGGAGTGTTTGCATGAGTGGACTTCGTGCTTCTGAAACATTTTCAAAGAGGGCATAAGTAGAACCCCACTGGATTCTAGTGTAAAAATGTGTATGTGGTGGTATAGATGAATTAGGAAGGTAGCCAAGTAATTGTCAGAGGAGGGAACCTGTATGCATGTGGACTTAGTCTTACAAATGATTTGTGCTAATAATTGCATCTCTAGTTGTCCATGCTACAGAAACTGCTAACTCCAGCTTCTGCTACATTGCCTCATTAAATCAACCATTTTTTATGCAACTGCCAGTGATAAACAGGTAGCCACCTGGGCTACTTGGCATGATAATAGTGGCATCACTGTGGCCTCCTTTATACTAAGAGTGAAAAAGGAAATAGGAGGGGTCCGTAGAGCCGATCTGTGCCACAGGGTTTGTGGGTAATGAATTAATAAAGGTAAGGGGAGGAGGAGAATGAAACTCATGAGCCATGTGCACAGCAGAAAGCCCAATCACATCCCCAATGTGATTTGCAAGCCATAGGTTACTGTCCTCATTATTCCATAGTTTTGTGTGGTGGTTAAAATACTCCACTCTAATTCCTCTGTGGTATCTATTATAGTCAGTCATGCCAATCTATAGACATTAGAGCAGAAGTAGTGAAACAGCTACACACAGTAGAAGTAGGAATAAGGGATCTTCAGGAAAAGGGCTTATTTTCCGGAGAATCGCATCTAGACTGGCGCTTTTCTCCGGCAAAAACCCTGAGCCGGAAAAAAGCAGCAGCCATGTAAATGCAAATGCCGTGGGGGATATTTAAATCCCCCGTGGATTTGCAATTCCGAAGTGTCTCATTAGCATCCCTTTTCTGGAAAGGGATGCCAATGTAGACACAGCCACGGATGGATGATGCGTGGGGGAAGGAATCAAGGAGCAATGTAGATATGATGACATACATAACCTTGAGAACTACTACAAACTAGTGGCATCCCAAAGAGGGCAGTGGGGAAAGAATAAAAATGGGGTCGTGGCACTGGCTGTTTGCCCCACCTCATTGATTGAGATGATTTAGTTGAGGTTGATCTTGCTTTGGGTAGGGGGCTGGACTCAATGATCTCCTGAGGTCTCTTCCAGCCGTAGGATTCTATGATTGACAAGCAATGTTGAGTCAAACTGGGAGGGGTCATGCTACACCATTCCAAACTTGATAGATCTACAACTTGAGTGTATTTTTCCCCCAGAGGAATTCTGCCTTAGGGTTTCATCCTCATGCTGATAGCCAAAATTCTCCAAAGGATGGTTTCCACTGCATTGTGATGTGTTCACATTCTGCAGTGCGAGCCATGGCCAGAGGTAAAATTAAGTGGCTGTGCCCTGGTTCTCAGCTCTGGCAAGAGCTGTCTGAGCTGCGGTAAAAGCCAGCAAGGAACTATTTCAAGAGCTGGCAAGGACCTGGGTTTCAATAGGGCAGTACCTGTAAGAAATGTTAAGTTATTTTCACCTCTAGCCAAAATTTAAATGCATAATAGGAACATGTGTTTTAAACAAGTAAATAAAGCAAAGGAAAGCTTTGAGTTTAGATATGGTTTGTACCATTACATTCCTGGCATGGTGAATAGAGCTTTTTGATACTGTGGGAAAGGCATGTACCTTTGTGCATTTTATTGCCAATGTGTGATAGTGTCCTGGGACTCCAACTTAAAAGAAAAGATGAGAAATTACTGTTCAATGTGCTATATGTATGGATAATATCAAGTTTTCAAATTTCTTTATGCTGGTAAAAATATTAAATCAGTGGTCACCAACCAGTAGATCGGGATCTATCGGTAGATCTTGAATCCTCTGACAGGTGATCCTGTCTGGTTTGGCTGGGAGGTATCAAGTGCTGGCACTTCAGCTGCCCCTTCTCCCCATTGCCCTGCTGTTCCCGCCCAGAGCCTCAGAGCTGCCTCCTGGGAGCCTCCTCCTTCTTGTGCAGAGTTGGGGAGAAAGAGGCAGGGGGTGCTGATGTCACTTTGTCCCCCTCCCCTGTACTCCATCTTCACAGAGTGAGGAGGGCGGGGCCTCGGTGAAGGGGTGAAACGGGTATTTGGGTTTGAGGTAGATCCTGGATTCATTTAAATTCAAAACGTCATCTTGTGTTTAAAAAGGTGGGAGACCACTGTGTTAGGTTTCAGTAAAGAAAATGTGGTCAGTCTGTGTACCTTGGAGGCTCTTTTACAAAAAAGATCATGTTGTACATTTAATTCTCTAGGAAAATGTACCTCTGTTACAGTGGACCACTTTGAAAAGATACATGACACTATGTTTCTCTATGTAATATGTAGCTCTAAATATAGAGGGAGCAACATGCCTTAGTTTTAATTTGCATTATATTTGAATTAAGGCACGATGATTACAGAATATCATAATATGCTAGATAAAGGAGTAAAATGGATACTTTCACCAACTTGGTATTACTCCAAAAAATTGCCCTTATTGAAATGATCACATTAGAAACATCCCTTTATTTTTATAAAAATAAGAGCAGTATAAGATATACACATTTTCAACATTTTTATGGGATTTTATATAATTTGTGGCTGTGCATATTTCCCCAAATGGGAATTTGTAATGAATCTAGCAGCATTAAATGTATTTTTCTTTGGTCTTCATTTCCTCTAGACCCATGCTACTCTGCAGGAAAATGTAGAGAGAGGTGCTATAATTAAAAACTGTGCAAAATCAAGTTTGTACCATGAAATGCAGCTCTTTCAACTCTGAATGAGGCACGCTGCATGATAATCAGATGATATTACAAACTCATTCACCTATAACAATCAATCTCTGGAAAATAATAATGTGCATTTCATACAACAAGTAAAGAGTTCTTTGTATTCATTCTGATAGGGGTGTGGAAATAATATACCAGATACATACAGCCCTGTGCTGTTTTCTATGCCCACCCTCATCAGTAGGTACAAAAGTTATGATCAGCAATAGCTTTTGTTTGTCAGGAGTCAGAATAGAGTTAGAGTTGTTTTTTAATACGGAATTGTTCAGTAGGATATCTGGCTTGAATGATGGTGACTTAGCAGAGAGGGCTGCTTTTTAAGCAAACTAGAGGTTGATGTCTCAGGTTTCAGTTAGGTTACACTGTCTGTCTTGTCATCGTGGATCCTATTGTTGATTTGCTGTGAGTGTGAGGACTTCATGGCTATTTTTGAGTAATATTGCCAGTATTTTGCAATTCCAGATCAAGAATTTTTTGTTTGTCTGTTGAACAGCTGCATAATTTGGACCAAGAACAATTTAGTGCACTTGACACAGCTACTGAAGAACATACTCCCCTGTTTCTGCAGAGACTGTTGTACTTTTCAGTCCGTACTGAAACAAATCATTCCATTTTCAATCCGCAGAGTTGCTTGTATCTTCTCCTTGATACTGGCTGGATTACCAGATAGCTAACTGGCTATAGTATTATTCCACTTTTCTGACTACACCTGCCAACTGTATCTAATGAGTCATAATCTTTAATACATTTATTTCAGATGTCTTTCTTGTGCAGGCTAATGTAATTTTATCTAAACCAGTGCTAGACAATTGTTCAGAGAAAGCTATCTGACTATCCTACAAAATATTGCACTGAAATATCTAACAGA